AAGCGGAATTAGAACGCTCCGGGGGAAAAGTGGAGAGTTTCATTTGCATATTCCAGCTGTGGCATCTTGTAGGGAAAACCACAGTACACTGGCAAAAACCGTAAAAATTAATTGTTTAAAGAAAGAAAATATTTTACACTCGTCAAAAAAAAAACTTAAAAAGTAAACAAAATTAAACAACTTTAAATCTATTATTTTTAAATTAAAATTTTTTTTTAAAAATTTAAAAAATTAAGTTTTAGAAAATAAACAAAAATTTTATACAGAATTAATCTAATTTGGTGTTTCAGCTTATTTTAATTTATTATACCCGTTACCGTAGAGTAAAAGGGATATTAGATCGTCAAAAGTAGTAACAGGTAGAAGGAACGTTTCCGACCCTATAAACTATAAACTTGATCAGGATCACTAGCCGAGTCGACTAGCCAGCCGTCTGTCCGTCTGTCTGTCCGTCTGTCCGTCTGTCTGTCCGTCTGTCGTCTGTATGAACGCTGAGATCTCGGAAACTATAAAAGCTAGAAGATTGACATTTTGCATGCTGATTCTAGGAGTTCCTACGCAGCGCAAGTTTGTTTCAAAAAGGTGCCACGCCCCCTCTAACGCCCACAATCGCTAATATACGATTTTAAAAATTTTAATATTTTGGAAAAGTAAAAATGCAGTTTTATTGTGGTTATCAATACCTATCGCAATGTAGAAGAAATTTTTTAAATCGGACCATTCGTTAAAAAGTTACGGCGGATCAAAGTTTTTCTCCATCGCCTTCGCACTCCCTTTAGCTGAGTAACGGGTATCTGATATTCGGGGCACCCGACTATAGCGTTCTCTCTTGTTTTTTAATCTATTCTAAAGATTTAAAAAACATTTAATGAATAGTAATAAAAAAAGTTTTTAAAACGACAAATTTTGGAGAATTTTGTTAATCTTAAAAATATTTTGGAATACCCGACTTATAAGGGATTTTAAATTCCTTGTGATTTCTAGAACTTTTAACAAAGTCCTCTAACTTTTTTCACAGTGCCGCTGCCAGGCGACAACAAGCAAGTGTAAATTTCACTTGAACTGATAATTTCACTCAATTTGTGTGCGCTGATGAGCAAAGTTTTCCCATTTGCATGGGACTACGTGTGCCGGCAATTCCACGCCCCCGCCCCCCGAAACGCCCGACTTTTCTTCCGTGGGATGCAAGTTTCCATCTTTTGCTTCTCCTTCATCTGGCGATGCTCCCGACTCCGATGATTTCTTTTTCGTCGTCGTCGCTGAGTTGAAGGTGCCAATTAGGGATTTCCGCCTCAATTACTTTCGCGAGCACACGAAAACCAAGTTTGTATGATTTTCGCATGACAAACTTAGGTCTTTCACATCTACGTAATCATCCCCTTTCGCAGAAAGTGACTGCTTCCCCTGGCGGAGTATTCACCTCCCCAAAAATGTAATTGCACGAAGTGCGCCCCCGAAAATGTGGGGTGTGCGTGATAAAAAACTCGTTTGCATTTTACATGTTTCATCTGCAGGTGCAGAAAGCTGAAATACATAGTTCATGTGGCTTTTCAGAGACTTGGTTATTTCCATTTCTACCGAATGAGTTGCAAGCTCCTTGATTGGCTCTGCGATTACGCTAAAATGATTGCAAATATGCGAAAATGTGGTCGGAGTGGATGAAAAAGCAATAACTGAAGTGGTGGATAACGATTAAATATTTGTAACATTTAAAAACCACCTGAAAAATAACCACGTTGTAATAGCAACGTTTAGCCTTCTTTGAGTTTAAAGTTTATTTTGAATATTATAATTAAATTTATAGATTTCAAAAAGAATGATTTTAAAGCAGATATCAAACTTAAGAAACTTTAAGAAGTTAAATTTTTAAATAATATTGTTCATTTAAAAATGGTTTATATATTTTTTATAATCACAGGCTATTATTCGCTTCTAGAGGTTCTTCTTGATTGTATTAACTTATTAAAAATTATAATTATTAGTTTTGAATACGATATTTATAAAGATATTTTAAAAAAGTCAATATTGTTTTCCATGTATCATATTGTTTTCTCTAGCTGATATACAACCCCTTCTACTTTTGCTGTGGTTTTCCGATATTAATTAATTCAAGACCGTAAAGTAGACCACCAGGAAAGTCATTTCATAAGCCAACAGACAAACGGGCTTCTGTAAATTCTAAATACACTGCCATCAGGTCGAGAAAGAGAGAGAGCCTTTCAAATCAAAACCAATATCGGACTAACGACAAAGGCAAACGTTTCCGTACCTTTTGTCAAGTCACGGAAAGGCCGAGGAGCACTTAGCAATATTGCATTGCAACCGGCATTGGAATCGGAATCAGAAGCAAATCGAAGTGGTTAGATCGAAATCGAAGGGAATTATTTGTCAGCCGGAGGAAGGGGTCAAATCGGATGTGTGACGATTCCGAATGGGTCCTTCGCTCGTCCTGCTGCTTAAGTGTAATTAAATTCACCCAGCCCCACATTCCCCGAGTGTTGCTCATCAAATGGATTGATTTATGATGATACCCTGCTCACCCTCCTCTTCCTCCAATCTTCCTGCCTGGCTGACGAGGCATGACATAATAAATCGCCATGTCCTGGATCCTGAATCCCGAGTCCTGAAGCTTGGGTCGTGGGCACAATGACACCGACACACATGAGCCGAGCGCACAGATTTGAAAATTAATTTGCGAAAAGTTTCGCCTGCTCAAATCTGAAATCTCGCATTTCACATTTCGCATTCTATGCGCTATATTTATATTTATTATTTAATTTTGCCCCGCTTCTGTGTACTTTGGCGTATTTTTACGCTCGACTGCTATTGGTGCCTCGTTCTTTTCTTGTGTTGACGGCAAAGTTTAATTTTTATTGTTGTTTGACTTTGTTAAATGATTTTATTGCCTTTCCTTTGCGCGGCGAAGAAGGAGAAGCCTTTGTAGGAATTTAATATAACTGCTGTGACCATATTGCCGAGTAAACAGTGCACAATGTTCCAGTTTTTTCCCCAGCAGGAAGCTTCAATTTATCCCATCCCCCTGCCTTCGTGTCCTTTATTGCTCTAGAATTTATTGAAGCTCTGCGCTGAGTTTGACGGTTTGACTTGAGATATGAGGGCCATTTGATTGTTTTGTACATACTTACGAGTGGCTGCCAAATTGCCAAGTATTTCAGCCAACCAAAACTTGAACTTATTCCGGCATAGCTCATAAGCATCTTGCGGGTTGACTATGCGCAAAATCAAACTGAAAACCTGTAAGTAAAAAACGTAAATAACCATCTCGGCAGAAAACCACAACAAAGAGAACCTAGGAAATTCACAAAAGGCTTGAGGATACAGCTGCGTTCAAATTAAAGGCATCACAAAAAGCTTAACTTAGTTTGAAATATAAAAAAATAATTCTTATAGTATTTGTCTATTATTGTTCTTATGATAACTAAGTTAGCAGATTTTTTCAATAAAAAAGTATAACTCAAATAAATAAATATACAAAAAAAAAACGGTGTTGCTATATTTATGACCTCGGCTGAAGTTGTAGTACTTGTTCATATTTACTGAAAGAGCATTTTGCGTCACCACAATAAAGGCGTCTTTCGAGAGCCTCGAGTTTAAATAAGTTTTTTGGTTGCGGAGAGAAAGAGTTCAGCATTAAATTTAATTACAAGTGCTGAGGTTGAGCAAATTCAGTTGAAGTCTTTGATCTTCATTTGCTTGAATTAATTTGTGACAATAAAGTGTGCAGTAAAAATAAGAAATATTAAATCACTTTAGCTTAAGTAACAGTAATAGTTTCGCTATTTAAATAAAATATTTTCCCAATATTTCTGAAAGGTTTTAAGACCGTGGAGGATTAGGAACATTAAAGATTTTGTCAAACGTTGAGTCCATCAGTCGGCAGCCTTAATTTGCCTGTCCACGACTGCGGAATGATTAATTGCAATTTGCTGGAATCCGAGGCGAGTCCTGCGAGTCCACGTCAAATGAATTGCATAATCAGCTGTCAATTACAGCACTGATCAGATATCTGCGGCTTTGGGAGGAGCCTCCGTTCGATGCGGCTTTAAACAAATTGCGCTGCAAGCCATCGGGAATGAATTCTGAATGGCTGCCAAGCGAACAATGGCTGTGGATTAGAACGAATAGTTTCCATGGATGGGCTGCATTTGTGTCAACTGGATTGTTATGGATGTTTGCATTACTGAGCGGTATATCTTTTTCCTTGCCCCAGCCCCCCGCAGGCATCTTTTTTCCCCCCTGGTTCCCCGGCAATTGTCCTGCGAAGGACAATGTACGCATTGCGTCACTCCGAGAGATACGCCCATTGTTCGAGCTGAAACAAAGCCAAAGCCAAAGACAAACCCGAATCCAAAGCCTGCCATGCGACATTCAGCCTCTCGGCTTTAGTCATAGTTTTAATCTCACTAATGGCTGGCAGGGTTTCAAGTCGATGGCTACAAAGGCCCAGGACCTCCTGCTCATGTCACAAAGGTCCTTCGCTGCACACGACAATTCAATTCCTCCCCCCTGTTCCAAAAAGAATAAAGATTCCAAACACAATGAGAGATATGCGAGATATACTCAACTGCAGGCCTATTTCTTATATCTTATGGGCTTTGTGTTTGTTTTTAAATAAAAATGTAGTGTAAAAGGGTTTAGTTTAAGTCTAAATTAATGTAACCCAAAAACAATTATTTCTAACATTTACTTAATATCTAAAAAAATAGAAGTTCCATATTTAAGTCAAATAATCATAATTAGTCATCATAAAACCCCAATCCTTCATAAGCTGACAGCAGAATGTCAATAAGTCAATTGACACCTCCAAAAAGACTGAGTTAGAACTGCCAGTATAATTGTATTGCCAATCAATCAGAAATCGCAGAGTATATGGTAATATAGTACAAAACAGAGAGTCTTTAAGAGCAAAGCTCTCTTAACTGTCTACTTTCAATAGCTGAGAACAAAATGAAATAGTGTCAGTACAACTTGGCATCTCGGATCGTAAACAGGTTACTGCCGCAATGCGAGAACTGCAAATGTCGGAAATGTTTTGGATTATGGCACTCATATTGATTGGCAGTTGTTTCGCTTGTAAGCGTACGAAATTCCTAATAATTACTGATTACTGATTAACTAAAACTTATTGTTAATAACAGATCCTAAGCCGCGGACCTCGTACGTCGATGACTTTGTGTTTCCCTCAAACGAAGAGCATATCCCTCGCAGTTGGGAACACTACGCAAAAGATCAATCAACCGAATCGAGAGATCACAATGACAATGCTAAAAATCGAGATAAGTGCAGAGAATTTCATATCGACGACTCCTCTTGAAAAGTCTGTATGATTTTCATCAGCTACAAGAAATTGGAAGATCCCCTGCAGAGTTTAAATAAGGCTCTGGTTGAGGATCTAAATCTTCCGGAACTCGTTTATAGTTTACGAGTTGTGAAGCGCGGAAAGCGTCGTTTAGTTTTTGAGCTGCCAAGTGCCATAGATGCCTTTCTTACCCTGAATAGTTATTGTAATTTATATCAAGATCGTCATGATCGCACCTATGAAATTCTCAATGTTGAAGAACCTTTGATTTTTTAACTAATAATTTCTCAAGATATTGCTACATGAAGTGCAAAAACTTGTTTCATACCAATGTTCCCATTAGATTAAAATTACTAAGTAAAGAAATTCGATATAATAACTTGATAGTGCTGTGTAATTACGAATGACGCATTCTAGTGGGGTTCTAAAAATATAAATCAAGCTTTATAGTTACCTAGAACTGGTGATATCGAAAGAAATATTTAAAATACTTTTTTATAACATACAATATTCGAACCACATCAAAGGTGCTATAAAAACGTGATCAGTGTAAAGATATCAAGAAATGTGAAGATGACTCGGAATTATAATTAATTTAAAGGTTTGACTCAGCAAACAATATTCGACATGGGTTTGTAATCACCATCATGGGTAATTCCCAATGGGTACTGTGATAAACTAAGCTCAACGGAACCCCATCTATTGTTTGGCAAAATCAAACAATCGAAACCCATAAATAAGTGGATGTGAATCAGAGCGAGCTTTGTTTGTAGCGGATGCGGATCCATTTGGACGCCGGTCGCCAGGTGAACATACAGCCTAGACAACATGAATGCAATTAAGATTGTTCGGCGTCATAACGCATTTTGTATGGGAAGGGAGGGGGCGTGGCTTTGGAGGAGGGTTGGCTTGTTTATCGACGTCGCTGTTTCTGTATTAACTGGGCTAGAAGGGACACCGACAGCCCACGAAAGCCCAAGTCCCGGTGTACCGGTTACCCCGCTTGTTGTCGCGCTGGTTGCCCTCGCTGTTCAACATGGCCACAATGGAATAGTTGGCCATGGAGGACGAAATGGGGAAATGGGGATGTGGGCCACGAGGAGCGGAGCTTTACAATTTACACATTAATTATGAGCAGACATGTGTTGTAGGCGTTTTGGCCAGGATCCCAGCGCGGCTGCCCCGAGTCTTGCGGCGCGGTAACAGGTGCCTCCTGTTACTTCATCGCCTACCCGTGCACAAGCAAAAAAGTGTCTAATTACAAGTACATTTAATTCCAATTTTTATATCAATTTGAGTTACTTAAAATATGGATTAATTTTTTGCCATAATACTACTGTTTATGATTTCTGTTTTTATATTATTTGCAAATCATACTAAACGAGAAACAAAATTGCTTTATATTTTATATATACCTATATATTTTAAAATTATTTCGTAGTAAAAGATTATTATCATTATACCTTTTATTTGAAAATCGCGCTGTTAAATATGTTCATAAATGTATAAATAATAGTTCTTATTTACTAATTAAAGGTAGGACATCTTATAGAAGCAAGTTCCAAAAGAATTATTTATAAAGCATTTTTAAATGATACTTACTAATGAATATTTAAATCTGAATTTTTTTTAAAACATTCTTAATTTAGTTCTGTTTCTCTGGGAACGTTCTTTTTATATTTCTTGTGATATATCATTTCGCTGAGTGCGAAAAGTATGCAAATTCCGGCTAGGCAAAATGTGCCCCTGGCCGGGTTTTATGGCAGCGAATTAATGAACGCAGCCAACGAGCCTGGCAATAACAAGGACGTGGGACGTGGGGGAAGGGTCATTATTTTGCCGGTGTCCCTGCCTCAGCTCCTCCAGATCCTGCCTCGTCCTCCTGCAATGCATTGTGGCTGGTCAGCTTGTGGCTCCACGAAACAGAAACACCTCTCTCTCTTCCTCTTAAACCCCCGCAGCCGTGTGCAATAATAGCAATAATTTATCACCCCGGACCCAAATTATGCATGAACTCAATTGTGCGTGAAATTAAATTTTAAGCGCAAACAAGACGACTTGCCGGCTCGGCCCCTGTTTACCCCAATAATTTGGCTAATTTCACTTGTGAGCAGCCGACGGCCAGGACATCCATTCCAACCCGCATTCAACCCACAAGCCATCCGGGCCAAATATAATTGAAAATATTTCAAATTGCCCAATGCAGCCGCAAATGACATGTATATGGCCAGCATTGGTTTGGCACTAATTGAGAGTTTCTTGCGCTTGAATGTTTAAACTTGAAGCCCACTTTCGAAGCTAATGGAAAATTAATACGCTGTTTAATTGTCTTGACTATAAAATGCTTCGACTGGGAGGTAAATTTATTTATTGGCAAAAAGCATAAGATAGTATCATATTTTTAAAAGAGTATCTATCAATTTTCTAACTAAATAATTTTAAAATCAAAATAACTTCCCGCATCTCCAAAACTTTTACTTCAATTGAAGTAAATTTTCCTTATTTCCATCACAAACTTGGAAAATTCAAAGACAAGAGGGTCAGTCGAAATAAATTTGTAACTCACTCTAAAATATGTCGGCGCAAAATTCTCCAAAGACATAAAATACCAAACTTTTCGATTGCATTTTTGTCGCACAAGTAAAAGTACCTCTGATTGCCTTAAAAATAATTTATTGAGTCAATTGACTTTTGCAGCGGAGTCTCCGCAAATAAACGCACTGCAATCGAACTTACAATCTCCGGGGAGTCCCACACATTCACTTGATTTGATTGTGTTGACTCTGCAGAGGGAAATAAACTTAAGTGCAGTGGCCACGTTCCTGAATTTCGAGAGCTTCGATTCGGATTCGGTTCCATTTGAAATTTATTGCGGCCGGAGTTCGTTCACATGGCAAGTTAAAGCTCCGGGTTACATGACTCATTCAAAAACCGGCGTTTGCTCATTTTTGGGATGGGAGGGGAAAACGGGGAAGTCCACAGTCTGCCGTCCGGACATTTGCGAAATTCTGACTCAGACTCCTTGGCAAATGCAAACCGAGTCACACATGTCAATTCAATTTGATCGGAGGACCGTGACGGATGAAGGAGGCCTAGCCGGAGCTCGAGTTGAGTCCTTGTTTCCACCAGGGACAACACAACTCCATTGGAAACTCAAAGGGGAGGGGGTCTCATGTCTAGAATTGGCCAAATAAAAATGTCTCTCTTTCATTTACATTGATTGACAGACGGAGTCGAAGAACGAAAATGTCTCGTTGAATATGCACTGTGGCTTGTCATTGAAATATCATTTATAATTGGATGGCATTTCCATAGGCCCAAACTCACTTAACTTTGTGAAAACAATTTGTTTTTAATAGAATTTGTAACAAGATAAGGAAAAGAAAATGGGAGATAAAGTCCAAAATGTAGTTTGTAAAGTCGACGGAATTCAATAAGAACATAGACTAACAACTGCTGTAGAAAATATTTATAGAAAAATAAAAAAAAATTTTTTTAATTTTATATTAATTTGGTTGTTGCTTTTTTTAGTTTGACTTATACTAACAACACCAAATTTTTTTTTTATTTTTATTTTTTTTGGATTTAATGACATATTTTTAATGTTTGAATATTTAAATTCAATGCATCATTTTTTTTTAATTTAACAGTCTGTCAGAAAAGTCTCCACTCACATTCAGCCATTTGAGTTAAAACTCACCACCAAATGGGCAGCCACATCGCAGTTGTTGGGTGACAATCGCAGCAAAGCTGCAAAATGTTGTAGGTTTGTGGTCGTGTGGAAGGTAAGTTGGTTGGTTCGCTTTTGTATAAGAGTTCGTAGTACATGAAATAAAAATAAATAAAAAGAAAAATCGACTTTAATAAAATATCGAAAAACCAATCAAAAATGCGAATAAATAAATTTTGTATAGTCAGCACTTTGCATAAATATTCTCTCTTTCAAATCATACTTTTTAAGTAATTGAATTCATAGACACATTCAACCAAGCAACTCAAAGCTGAGATTTATACTAGCGAAACGAAAAAATCGCATAAGAATTTGTTTTGAAATTGTATTTATTGCATCTAGTAGTGCGAAAAGATGAAAAATGTGTATCAATCCGTTGCCAAAGGATGCTGCAAAATGCTGAGAGGAAATATTTTATGGTTTTGTTGCCGCATTTGGTAGTTGTTCGACACTTTTAGAAGAATTGCTGGAACAACAAAAATGTATGTAATAAATAATGCAAAATCGAATACCATAAATAAAACAATTTTCATTTTGCTTTTTGGCAAAGTTTTGGCTACAAAACAAGTGTAAATGTTATTTCACTTACTGTTTGGTTTCTTTTTACTATAACCACGCAAACAAATTTATGACTTTGAGTGTTTTTGGTTTTTAATGTTTATTGTATTAAAATAATTAAAATAAATATAATATTATATTAAACAGTAGAGTTATAATTGAAAAAAATACCATATTTATACCTATTAGCTGAGAAATTATATGTCTCCTAAATAAATGAGCATACCTTCTTGAATATTTTTACTCGCCTGGTTATCTTTATAATTATAAAAAAGGGCTTTAATAATTTTAACCCACTCGCCAGAAAGAAATCTACACAACCTCTCTTTTGGTATAAAGTGTCTCTTTTGTCTCTTTGTTGGTCGCTTAATTAATTTATTTAATTACGTACCCATTTGCATTCATTTTTAAACAGCTGGCAAAGTTGCCATTATGGTGGATTCCTGTCTGTTTATGTTTCTCTGAAAATGAATAACAAACTGAATGAAAATATCAGCAAATTATGCATCGTGTATATTTTTATCATTCGCTTTTGTTGCAATGACAAGCTGAAAACGAATGGAAAATCAATTAGGAAATGTAATGGTGTGGAAATAAACATCAATTGGGTTGAAAATTAATCGTGCACTTTTAAAGCTAAGCCTACGTATAATGAATGGAGTCTACAGATTGAAAGGTTTTTAAGCAAGGCTTAAAATTAAAATGCGCAAAAGTCGATTTAAAATTTTAATGACTTTAATTATGCAGAGATGTACAGGAAAACCCTTTTAGCGAAAGATTTAAAAAAGTTAAAGGCCCTTGAAAAAGGGTTGGGAAAAGACGTTAAATTTAATCATTAAGACGTGAAAACCTTTTTAAAGGAAGATTGCGTATCCGCTAGGTGGGCAACACATTTTAATTTCTGTTATGTTTTCGTTTGCTGAAAGTAGAAAGCCCATATTAATACAACTAATTAGCTTTCTATATTTGCACATTTTTTTCTTCTAATTTTTAATTGACTAAAATTATTATTGCGGCTCTGCTTCCTGGCAATTAGTTTAATTACGATTTTAATTAAAAGTGGCTATATATACTGAAGCTAGGAACCACAAAACCACAGTTTTGATTTTTAAATGCATGACAAAATTAATTAATAAAATGAAGGCTAGTAAGTATTTTCAGACTTTAAAGGCCACTGAAAATTTTGCATAAATATTTAAGTTGACAAGTTTATTCCAAATAAAAATCGCATCGAAAAGTAGCAAGCATTTTGCGTTGCAACTAAAGCCAATTTCATATGATTTGGCCATGTAATTTTAAGAGCTAAAATCCCTGCATCTCTGATTTGCATTGGAATCCAAATAAAGAACTGGGCTAGAGACGGACGCATACATATTCAGAAAGATTTCGCATGCGGCGCACATTTTTGAATACATTTGACAATTTTCGTAAGAGAAATGAGAAATATTTGCATTTACTTGAGTAGCAGCAGCGACAACGACGACTACTACGACGACGACGGCAATGCAAAAATGTAATTTCCATGAAAGCAGCCAGCTCCGGAGGAGGAGAAGGTCGGAAAGTTACGGGTTGTGGGATGTGGGCGAGGACGAAGTCCTAGAGCCGGTTCTAGAGTCATGAGCCAAGCCGGAGTCATCCGAAGTGGCTGCAAGTGCGCAGGCATTCGGGCCTTCCCCCAAGCCAAGGGTTCCACTGTGATCCCAGCATAGCTGCACTCGGAGAAAATAACTAGCCATTGTCTGTCTTTTTAAAAAAATATTAGAAAACGTTACTTAAGCCCTTAAAAATGATAAAAAAAAATAAATACAAAATGAAATTCATGTAAAATTAATTTAATCCAATTCAAATTTAATCCAAAATATTTATATAATATATATATAAATTTAAATAAATTACAAATAAGTAATTAAATTTTAGACTTTTACGATTTTATCTATCACTGAAATATTTTACAACATTTCGAAAGCAGGTAACCCACACTTTATTAAAATGCTGTATTTAATATTTAATTTATTTATGATTTATTTATTTATTTAACATTATATTTGGTTAATATAAAGGAAAAATATTTTATTTTTTTTGTCTAAAAAATGTTTAAATAAAATGTTAAAAATAATGATTTTTTCCTGTATATTTTTTATCCAAGTGCTGGCAGTAAAACTGTGTAGGCGAGGAAGTTTCTGGCGTGTAGGGAAGACGAGGCGTTGACGGCGGTGTCTATTGTGCGGGTTAGCAGCGGCTGCATTTGCATCCCGACAGCAGATGCTCCTGCTCCACTCAGCCAGACGGGGAATGGGAATGGGATTGGGATGTGGGCATGGGTGTGCGATGTGAACTGGGAGATTTTCCAGAGCCAAAGCCTGTCCGGCGGCTGGCATGAAATATTTGACTTTTGATTAAAGCACCGACTCAAGTGCTCGCCGGAGCTCGAGCTCCCTGGCGTTTTGCCCTGCCACTTGACAAGATTCACTTGTCTTTCAAATGCATTTCATATTGTGTTGCATAATTTTCTGCGGTTTTCCTGCCCTAATGTGGGAAAACCCTAAAAGAAAAATTCTAAAAAAAGGAAAGAAAAGGAAGAAACCGCCCGACATTGTGAAAAGTTTTGCAAGAACTTACTGGGGAACTAGTTCCGTCGTTGTCATCGGGGCTGTTGTTGTGGTGTTGCGAAATATGCATTGTTTGTTGTGGTGCAAAATAGTCGTTTCTGTTTCTATTTCTATCTGGCTGGCAAGCTGCTGCACTTGTGCCAAAAACTAAACAGAGCGAGAAGTTTTATGGAATTACACGTTCGAGTGCGGAATTCTCATTCACATTCTCCTTCGAATGGCATGTGATGTAAAATAAGTTTTGGACCCTCTGCACATGATTCTTTGCAGTTTGGCTTCTGAAACAGATATTTTTGGTAGTACACACAAGAAAAACACGACGGGATCAAATGGGAGCTTAAATAACTAATAGCGCTTAAATTTCCATTAGTGGGAGGGAAAAAGAGTTCGAAGAAATACTTAATTTAGAGCTTTTCAAGTCAAAATTGATACCACATAACATCAAATCGATCATCGTTTCGTATCAAGTTTTTTTTGGTGTACCTCGGATTTCGGAGAATTCAAATGTATAATAAACATTCAAAAGAATATCCCAATAAATGTGATTTAAATACGAGTTGAGTTCGCAACCGTAGCATCAATGGAGTCTAATTGGCATGTGAATGTGGACCACTTAAGCGCGGCAGAGACCGAAAAATCTTGGAGGCACCACTTTGTTCAGACCGGGACAAAAAATTAATCATACGCTCCGGTTGCCAGCACAGTGGAGGGGAATTTGCTGGGATCAAGGGGAATATTATTGCGGTACAAAGGGCAAATTAATTTTTCATAAAAGGCGAACCACGCGGCCACCGCATTGGGGTCCTGGTTCTGGCCCTCCATCCTCCATCCTGCAGATCCTGCGGTTTGCTGCTCACGCACGTAGGATATGTACCTGCCACACGGATATACACTCGCACACTGGGCTGGGCGCAATTAATTTTCAATGTGCGCTTTATGCAGCTCCTTGCCGAGGTCCGGATTTTCCACCCGGCCCTCCTCCGGCGGGAAAATGCGGCTGCCAAGGTCCCCAGATGCGAGGGCGAGTGCGGCGGGGCGTGCTAATTGCCACACAAAAAGCGGCAAAAGAAATGCAGCCAGCGTTTCGGGCCCTTCGAGCCCTCGAACAACTCTTGATCGCATCGCTGGCTAATGTGATGTGTGCTTAATTTCCGTTCTTCAGCTAATTGGCCTCGTTTGCCTGCGTTTCGCTAATTACTTAATCATCAGCCGCACTGACAGCCCCTAGATTTTGAATAAATGAAAAACACGGTAATCTTTAGGGGTGAAAAAACTAGGGGAGCGAAAAGGGAAAACGGAAATTGCACTTTCTTGAGAATAAGAAAACTGTTTTTTTTTTTTTAAAAAGAGATTTTAAAATGTTTACCTAATCAAGAATATAAGAATATAAATAATATGTCTGCTTATCTTCGTTACGAACATCTGTCATTCATTAAAATATTTCTTTTAATCTTGATTGTGTAATTTATGGGCTATATTTTGTTTACTTTTAATTTGTCACTGAATAACTTGAATTAGAATTAGAATAGAATTTTTCCATCTTTTCTAGTATATTTTAATGGCACTGCCTCTTCGGCCTTATCATCATTTGCGCACGTTTCAGCGAGTAGGTGTGCCCCTTCCACTGATACCAGTTGATGCCCTTTCCATGGGTGTTATCGCCGTATTTGCCAGCCAAGTTGCTAGGGAAGCAAATCAAAAATTAAATAATAAATTCAGTATTTTAATGGAATATATAAATATTTACCTGTGATGACAGGCATTGTACCACCACGCACTGTTGTAATTTGTGGCACAGTTGACCGTGCCATGTTTGTCATTATCACGATCTTTGGTGGTAAACTTCTGGCCCAAATGGGTGGCCATAGCATCTCCTGCATTACCCGAAGTGTTGCCCAAAGATGCAAGATTAAAGCCATCCTCCTCAGAACCAATTCTAAAGTTATCATACATCTGGTATGCCCGTCCTCCCTCATTGTCTTCGAGTAGAACCAATAGTTCTTGGGTCTCCGAGGAAGTTATGGCGTGCAGCTTATCGAGGCCAAGGAAAAACTCATTCTCCAGCTTCCCGAAACCGTTTTTATAGTCATTCCAATCTCGGAAGAAATCCTCACTACCATCTGTGCGACGGAGGATAATGGTCCAACCACCGCCTTGACTCAGCTGATCGCAGGCCACCACAAATGGGTGTTTACTGTACTCGGGCACCACGATCACATTGATTTCACTGTGCTGGGTGAGCACCGAAGGTTCAGCGCAACTTTTTCCGTACAACTTGGTCTCTACTCCAATTTTGGACAAACAATCGTCCACTTTCTCAGTTAAGCCTTCTAATAACTCTCCTTGTCGCTCCTGCTCCACACTAAAATTAAATAAATTCATTATTTAAAAATAAATAAATTTATTTATAAATTATACACACCGCACAGCAATCATTTGGGACCGTATGGATGCCGCATTGCCGCAAATCGTTGATATTTCACACACTTTTTCAGCATTTATACGGACTAATATATTGACGATTAAAATTGTAAACAAAATCGAGAGCTGCATGATTACTGACTGTAGAGAGCAATTGATCGGCAAAGACTGAGCTGAGATGTTTTTATACAAAGCCGGCTAACAAAGAAATACTGGGGCTTTCCTATCGCTAAAGCTCTGATTTTTTTCAGATTATTTCAGTTCTTCCCCGATGATTATTCACGTTGAACTGTGTCATTTACCCTGAAAATCCCAAAGAAATTATACCTATAGCTTTTTTGTTCTTAGAAATTAAATACTGCTGATGATGCCAAAATCATTGAGTAAACTTTTTCGTCAAGCTTACCGAATGTTTACGGCTCAATTGCGAAAAACAACTTATCATTTCTATCTGATTGCAATGGAGGACAAGTAGTTTAGTGCATTGCACTCGTATCCATCAAATTCGTTTGGCTGTCAACGTTTCCGGTCTGGCAGGACAATCAGGACTGCCAGGACTCCCAGGACTCCCAGGACTACCAGGACAACCTGGACAGATGTCTCGGCTTCGAACTTAGTAACGAGCTCATCCGCAGCCCGACCACCGAACCCAATCCCAAACCCAAACCCACTGCTGTCTGTCAAATTGAGCGCAAAAGCCTTGGCATCCAGCTCAGGTGACATCAGTTCCGTCTCGTTACAGTTTGAAGTTTACCGTGTGTGACAGGCCTGGGGTTTCGTTTGTGGGCGGAGGGCGGTGGGCGGTGTTTGGAGCACCGCAAAAAAGTTCAAGCGAAAAGTTTTCAGTGCGGAGACAAGTAAAAACAAAGAATTCTCGTTCCACCCAGAAATTAAGAAACTCTAAATTACTGCAAATCATAGTCTTAGGGGTTGGATACTTACTCTATGCATCTCGCTATGTAGAGATGCCAAAGAAAGTTATAGAGTTTTAAAATCACTTTCAAAAATGCCTGAAAGTATGCAGCAAAATATTACAAAAGGTTACTGCATATTTTTAGACACCTTTTTATGTGAATTATACCTTTTGTAATGTATTGCATTATGTATCCGTTATGTTTGTATAAACTAATATTTATTATTTTTTTTAATTTTTATAAATATTTTTCTTATTATACATTTCAGATAATTAGAAGTAATCTAACATTTTAAATGCATTTTCTAGATTGTTCATTTTCGAAACTGAGCTACAATTTTCGTTTGAAATTAGAACAAATTCTAGGACAACCCCCCACCCTGCCCACGCCTCTGTGTCTCAACCATCTTGATGGGGTAAACAGGATTTGGGGGCATAAATCGAAATATTATCAAGATGCCAGCTGGTCGCGTCGCAACTAAATTGTTTGCAAATTTCTGCTCAGCTCTCCACATTTCTCCTCTCGACCCAGCGGCGCCTGGTGGACAAGAAAAACAGAGACAGCGGCAGAAAATTGTGTAAACAAGTTTTACCCACCTATGGCTGAAATTTACAACCGGGCCAACATTGGCCTAAACATTTCTGGGTTTTTCTTTCTCTTCATTTTTTTTTTGGGGAACCCGCCCAGGTTGTATTTCATTTTACTTCAACACTCCGCTCGTGTGTGTGTGTGTGTGTGTGCCTGGGGGCAAACTTTGGGCATAATAAATAACATAAAAATGAAGCGAATTCAACCTCAAAGTTCAATTCAAATAACCACTCAATAGATCTGCCGACTACTCCTGGGAACTTGCTTGCCTGCTTCTTGTGCATACGAAATGGCCGCCGGCTGGCTGGAATAGACGATGAATTTAAATATGGCCAAATTGAGTATTGGGCACGTAATAAAAAAGGGACCCAGGCAGCCGGACGGCCGTTATGTATGGCATCGTAAATAAACCCTTTTTTTACTTAATCCAAATTCGTCCCCGGGGAACAATTTGTTACACAATTTAAAAAAGGGACGAGAGCCAGCGAAAGGCGTTTAGATTTAGTCCGAGCCGGAGTTCGAGTCCGAGTACGAGTAGAGCTGTGTGTGTCCTTGCCAGGACTCCAGGACTCGAGGACCCGGGTCAGTTGTGCATACATTGTCCCTATCCGAGCTGCAATATTTTCGCCATAAAATATTTATATTTTTTCGCTCTCCACTCTGCCAGTAATATGGTTTTAAATTTCCATTTCGAATACATATTTGATGTGCTTAGACACAGCGAATGTGCAGGGCAATAAAAGAATCCGACGGGAGATGTGTATGAAGATGGACCGAAAAGGATTCGGAATTGCTTTACTAGCTGCAGGGGTTTTTTCTTGGATTTGCAGTCGCTTATAATGCAAGGAACAAAATTTTGCTGATTTATAAACATTTGGATTATGTTACATATAAAAAAATAATAATTCAAATTGGAAAAATATTATTACTCTTTATTTCCTTAGATAAAATACAATTTATAATGACTTAATTATGTTCCAATGAGCATAATCCTATCCCAATTCGAATACTCATTGTTGCCATTTAAAAACATCTGAAACTGCAACAGCGAAATGAGCTTTGAACCTAATCAACTGTTTTGGGGATCCTTAAATGCCTCTTTGGCCAAAAACTACAATAACAACTGGGCCAGAGACAAAGGCACATGGGGAAAGGCAACAGCAAAAGCCAACTTTTCCCAAAATTAGCGGAAACGGAAGCCAATCAGCTGGCAGCGGAAACCGCATTGTGCCGCAGTCCTTCAATTTCGTGGCTTCGATTATGATGAGGCGATGGACTCCATGTGCTCCGCCCTTCGAAGGACGATGAGTTCGCTTTGGCTTTGCGGTCAGAACCGAAAATAATGGCCAAGAGCCAAATTACGTTTCCGCCATTTGGTGCCGGGCAGCTTTCGCTTGACCGGAAATTGTGAAAAATCAACTCGGTCGAAGAGCCAACCAGTGTATGAGTGGGCTTCGCTTTTCCCCAAGTTTCAGGGAAAATTACCGCTTAACGAGCAAATTTCAATATAAAATATACTTAAGGGAAATATTTCACAGAGACGCGAAAAGAAGTCAGCCAGCGAAGTTGTTTCACTCCCAAATGAAAGGCCTCAAGGAGTTGACTTTAGAGATGGGAGGTTGACAAAAAAATATATGTCTTTTATTTTATTTTAGCAATTTCTCGAGACATTTGAATATCTTACCTTAACCTCAGAAATAATTTTGATTTTCTTAGAATTAAATATTTTGTAAATAAAAACTTGCACACCTCTAGTTGATTTCATTCTCAACCCCCGTTAAGAGTCTGTGGCATCTGGCAAATGTCTGCGAATTTTATAATGAAATTCCACAGCGTTTAATTATGCCCGGAGCAGTAAGTGCCATAAGCCCTCAGTTCCGACAATGGAATTTGAACTCTATCCAAGCTCAGCTTTGCGTGAAATGTACAAAATTATTACAACAAATGCCAGAAGACTCAATAAATCGAATTTGAAAAATCAACAACCATGTGGATGGCAATTTGACCCCGAGGCATTTTTCATGCAATTCAATTATGTAAATGCTGTAATGAACATTTATGATTTTAATGACATTCCAGTAATGTGATTAAATTCATTAAGCTATGTAATTATTTGGAAAAAAATTAATTTCAATATCAGTGACTTTTCCCACTTAAAAAGTAATTGAAGCGAAAAGAGAGAACTCACTATTAAGAAATAATGCTATAAATGAGATAAATATATGTTATAATAATTCAATTGATCTTCTCAGATAGACTTGATTTTTAAATGATTATTTTTTTTATAAATGAAAATATCTTAAATCCATTTGATTAAGCCTTTAATATTTTTGTGGCCATCATAATTCTAGCATTTAAATAACATGGAGATAAACAAAAACCCGAAAGTTTACTCCAGCTTAAAGTCCATCGTTTAGGGCCGCCTGAAAAATCCCTTGTTAACATGTTAGTCCTGGCCTCCACTTGAGGTATCTGCAGACCGCTCCGATATCATCCATCCAGCATATATATGCATGCATATATATGAAGGTACGTATAGTTTGTCCCCTTATCTTTTCGACTACGTGAGCGCACGTATGCGCATTCGTTAGCCCCAACTAAGGCCGCGTGCAAATCCGTTGCAGACCATAAATTATACACGGAAAATTGTTGGGAAAAATGGGTGGAAAAAAAAAAGGAAAAAGGAAAAGCGGGTGCCTGCGGGTCGCGATGAACGTGAGAGGTTTTTTTGGCTAAATGTCGCCCTGAAAAGTGGCAACTGTTGCTGATGCATTCGATAATTAAATAAGGCAAAACAAGATGTCGACAATTTGGATTCGGCATTTGAATAAACACACTCGCACCGACGAAAGCTATTTAACTTTGCCGAGCCACATCCGCTTTTCCGCCCGGGCTGGATTTTCCAACCGGGCATTTTCCGCGCACGCAAAATTCAAAGCAAGCTAGCAAAGTTGAGGCGTCGTGGTCGAGGCTCTGTGAAATTAAATAAGTTGGGGAAACCGCTAACGAGAAAGGTGTCTGGCACTAGGAATTAATGCGGCGGTTATGCCGGGCCCCCGGGCCTTGAGGTCCTGCGTCCTGAGTCCTGGAACCAGGATCCGGCGGGAAGATGGGTGGTTGGGTGGCAAATGCGGTGGTGGCAACGCGTAAAATTGCAGAGCACATGTGTTTGGAGCTTAATCTGTTTAGGCAACACGAGAAGCGCCTGCCGACAACTTGGTCTAAAACTTCAGGTAGCACTAACTTCTCCTGGCACTCCACAAGTCGGTGGAAGGGGGGTTGAGGGGGTTGTGTGTTGCCCCAACGAGGTCACAGAATGATGCACTGGAGGAGAGCAGGGAGGGGGAAGCACTGGCAGCTGGAAGCGACTTCCTCCAGAGTCGTTAAAAATGTTTAAGTTGCAGTCTTTTGTTGCCCCGCACTGCTGCTCCTGGCAGGGAATTTATTTTCGATGTCAATTTGTGCAATTTGTGGCGAAAATTTAATTGCTATTCTGGGCAATTGCATCGCCTG